GGTGGAGGGGTCAATTTAGAAGCCAAACACAAGTGGGTTGAGTAGTGAGTGGGACACGAGGACATATTTACAGTTCACAAATAATTTATTTTGTTTGTGAAGAAGAGAAAAAGGGGTGATAACTAGTGGAAAATGTGATTTTGAGGGGTGTGTGTGTGTGTGTGTGTGTGTGTGTCTACGTGTATACATGACAGTTTAACAAAATTTGTATTCTGTCAAGAATAGCTTTACTGTTCAATAATGTAGCACAAAGTTCTACAGGAAGGATCTGGGAAGAACTGGCCATTGATAGGACAGTGATACTTCTCAGTTACAGGAGAGAGGAAGACCAATGGACAGATGGAGAGAAGATTACTGACGTGGTAGTAGGAAGATGAAGGAGTCCTAATCTAGTGGTTTTTAATTTTTCAGTGAAGTGTGGGGTAAGGTCAAATGATACTAAAACAGGGAGGGAAAATCAGTTTTGGTATGGGAAAGAAGGCTTTACTTGGAAATTACTTAGACTCTAAGAAAGCAAGTTTATTAGGGAATGTAGTGCAACTATCAAGAAGTTGGACATTTGAGATTTGAATCAAATATTTAAAGTAAAATCAGTCTGAGTAATTTTCTTTGGTTATATTCATCCACAGCTGCTTAGGTTCAGAAAAGGCAAGTAATTTAGTAGATCCAGGCCTGGGATTTGCCATGGCTGAGAGAGAAGCAAGAAGATGAGGTTGTTTGTAATGATTATAATGATGGACTGTGGGTTCACATTTGGATAGATTCATCAAAAAATACTTTTCAACCTTAATTTTGCAAATATACTTCCATTTCAAGAGAGCAGGCTTATAATCAGACCATCTGTGTTCAAATCCCATTTCTACTACTTGCACATAACCTTGGGCAAATTATATAAGCACCTGCCCTAGTCTCCTTCATCTGTAAAATGGGGAGAGGACTCTCATATACATCTTGGCATTTTACTGTGGAGTGTGTTTACACGTAGAAAAATTTTATATGTAGAAAAGTTTTCAGGCTGGGGATGTGGCTCAAGCGGTAGCGCGCTCGCCCGGCATGCGTGCGGCCCGGGTTCGATCCTCAGCACCACATAAAAACAAAGATGTTGTGTCCGCCGAAAACTAAAAAAATAATAAATATTAAAATTCTCTCTCTCTCTCTCTTTAAAAAAAACAAAAAGAAAAGTTTTCTACATAGAAAAGCACAACATGAGCCCTAGAATATTACACTATTACCGTAATTAGCTGTGTGCATTCTGACCTACTGTGTCATCTCTCACTTGTCAACAAGGAAGGCTGTTTCTGTCACTGTCTTGTTGCCGAACAATATACTAGTTCTTTTTCTCACATTTGTATTTTTTAATTAACTCACTCCCCTTTATTTTTTTTCTGATATGCCTTTATCTTTATAATTGAAATGAAGTGATAAATAGCAAACTTCACAGAATCCAGTATAAGCATAAAACTAGGTAGGTAGTAATGACTATATTTAGCTATATGTCAGTTTGGGGGCAAGTAAGATGCCTTCTGATCATCTTCTAAGGTTTCAGGGGGAAAAAATAAGACTAGTCTAGTGAAAACTAATGGGTTTTAAAAATATCTTTCACAGAGTAGTTGTTTGCCCAGAAATCAGTATCTTCCCAATTGATCAAAAGTATCTGTGATTTGCTATTGGTTCATCGCCTCTTGTAGGCCTTTCTATTATGCAGCCTTTGAGGTTTTGTTTGTATGCTGTCTTATTTGTATTTTACTTTCTATGGCTTCTTAGAGTACATTATTCTGAATAATAACAAGTAGAGGCATATCCTGTTTATTAATCTTAGTCATGTGATATTTCTTTGAAGCCCATAAAGTGTGGGGATTATGTATTATCCTAACTGGGAAACTTAAGAGTAAAGGGGCACTTTTAATAATCATATCAAGATACTGACATGTAATTCCTGTATATAGTCCAGTATAAAGAAGGTCTGTCACAGATGTTGAAGGATAATTCACAAAATATATGCAAACACATAAACAGCATGAGTCAGATATTACATTTAACTCATTAATAAGAGAGAAACAGAAGTTATAGCAAGCTCCAAGGAGAAGACAAAGTACTACAGCTCTAGAGTCAAATAAGGAACCCAAAGATGAATTTACATAAAGATGTAAGGCTGACTAAGTAGTCTGTATCCACCCAGCAATAGCCAGTTGCGTTCCAGGGACACAATTTACATATCCATAGACATAAAACATGCATTATTATCACTTTTCTTCAGTTTACAGAGTTTAAAATAGCTCAAAGATAATTTAAACTTTACAGGATACTGTTTTAGTCAGCTTTTTCTCTGTTGTGACTAAAGAACCTAACCAGAAAAACTGTAGAGGAGGAAAACTTTATTTGGGGGCTTATAGTTTCAGAGGTACTCAAATCCATAGATTGCAGTCTTCATCCTGGAAGATTATGGTGGAGGCAAGTGGCTCACATAACAATCAGGAAGCTGAGAGAGAGAGAGAGAGAGAGAGAGAGAGAGAGAGAGAGATATCTCCACTCACCAAATACAAATAAGTACTGCAAAGCCATGCCCCAATGCCCCAGCTCCTCCAGCCACACCCTACCTGCCTTTAATTGGGTTTAGGCTCTATAACTCATTACTCCTCTAAACTTCTTACATTGTCTCATACATGAGCTTTTGGGGCACACCTCACAACATATAACCTCTAATTTTTTGCACCCATCAAAGGCCTTTGCAGTCTGTCACTACAAAGGCAAAACTGGGATGGCTGGGCACCCTCCTTGGATGTCAGCTATTCTCACTATTGTTTGCTTCATAGATTTTGGACTTAACTGCTTTGTTAGATTTAACTGCTTTGTTTAATTTTTCATTTTTTTCTTGGACTGATTCCTGTGCCTATTGCCTTTTAATAAGATTTTTAGTAACAAATCTATAATTTTATATGCTAGTTTATCAAACTGCCCAATATTAAGCTCCACTCCCATCTCATATTTGAGATTAGCTGGAAGCTTGGCTGTTGTTATTTGGGGGGTTGGGGGTGCTACTTTGATTCTGTTTTGGTTGCCTACTCTGGGAGAAATTGGAAGCATTTTGGCAAGAGTTGCCGAACAATCTGCAGTTATTCAAATACTTTGAGCCTGTAGGTTCATTGTGGGTTTTGTTCTAACCCCCTCTTCCCTCTTAAAAAAGAAACCTAGCAGCCAACAGCATCTACTAGTTTTTCTTTTTTTTTTAACTGTTATTTTGTAAGCTGCAGTTTTACTCTTGCAACCAGAAGCTGTATTTATTTTCAGCATTGGCAGTTCTGCCTAATGAATCAACTGGTATTGAATTCACGAAAGGAGATGCCGGTTCCCTGTCTCCATCTGTTTGCCAAATGTGTGTGTGTGTTCCCTCAGCTCCTGGTACACAGTGGCGTTACTCAAGAGAGCCATTAGCAAGGAGTGTTCGCCTTGAATTCTTGGTCCTCTGCTGACCCGATGGTAGTATTTCCCCCTCATGGCTCCACAAGGGTTGTGTGAGGTGAAGCTGCACACCTGGGATTCTAGAGGGAGCATCCTTTTATTTGTGATCTATAAAGTCTGGCCCTGCTTTAATGAGACCTTTGGTTTGGTCCTTGAGCCGTGGTTCCTTCTCTCATGGTGGGATGTGTGTCTCTGTGGAGTAGTGTTGTCATGGGGATTGAAATCACTCAAAACACAAGAGAAGTTACGCACTGAATCTTGGTAGGCTGAGACCAGGAGCCCATGGTGGCATATTGGATTAACGCTACATTTTTAGCAAATTGTCCTTTAATTCTTGTTGATGGTAGAGAGGATGTTCTTTCTGATATTCTGCATTTCTGCCAAGTTCTTGGCCACACTATGTGTGGTAGAATTTAGATCAGAAAGCTTGAGTTCCTGCCCAACAGTTTTTAGAGAAATGTAGGTATAGATTTAAAAAAATTTTTTTTTCTTAAATTTGCTTTTATGAATATTTTAGTGTCATCTTTCTTGTGTAGTGTGCTATTTCACTTAGCTTACTAAACAGAATTGAGTGTCATCTAAGAAGTCTTTGGAGTACTATTAAATGTTATTAATCTATTCTGACCTAGATAAAGGAGAGTAAGCTATTTTTAAATACGAGGCCACTAGCCCATCAAAGTTATGAGCTGTTTAACACACACACACACGCACACACACACACACACACACACTAAGGGACCTAATTTAAACACTACATTTACCAGTTTTACCCTTATCTTATTCCCCCAAAGACTTCCAACAAATATATGAATTAGTTTTGGAATTTACAGAAAAAACAAAACTGAAGATGTGCTTTAAAGTGAAGAATAAGGATCCAAGTGAAGTGGCTCAATTTGTAGAAAAATAATAACACTGTTTACTGAGGGAAACTGAAGTAAGGGGGCATTAAGAAGAGCGGCATAAGGTCAAAAGAAGAAAGAGGTGTCATGCCAAGGATAACCCAGAATCCCAGAAAGGGGTGAAAGAGCAGATTTTCTCCGAGGAAAGAGACCGGGTTGAAGAGCAAGGATCCTCATAGACCGAGAGGTGGAGGTTTATTCAGAATTAAACTCTTCATTTCTCAGTCTTTAGAAATTTGATGAAGACTTCTAAAGTGTAGTGATTCTTCACAGCAGTTCTGCTGTCAGAGGATTTGTTCTGAATGAGAATCTATATCTGCTTAACTGGAGTGGAATTATCCTGGACTGTGGGTTGATCAAGCCTGGGGCCAAAGGATTTGTGACAGTCATTCTTTATATCTACGTTTTAATATGTAGTTTAAATTCTTTTTGACATGGGTAAAGCAAATGTCTTTTCATTTGTTTATTCATATGTCTATAGTTGCTCAAATGAAATTTCTTATTGATGTTCCATTAATGAGTAATAATTGTTTTGCATGTTTGTTTAAAATTTTTTGGAAAATTCTGTTTGTGTGTTTTATTTGTGAATTATATTTTGTTGTGTTTTGCTTATTCTGGGAATTTTTCTTTTTGTTCCCCCAGCCATCAAACACAGACGACCTGTTGGGATCATCCTAAAATGACCGAACTCTTTCAATCCCTTGGTTAGTATTATTTTGTTTAATAGTAAGGAATTAACCTGAATAGGTGAGAACTGTATATTCTTCAAAAGAAACTAGTCACTAGTTTTTCTTTATATGGCATATAATATGAAAAGAATCATGTCATTGACACTTAAAATCAGTTTAAGGCAGCACACACCTGGAATCCTAGCAATTGCAGAGGTAGAAGGCTCACAGGTTTGAGGCCAGCCTGGGTAACTTACAGAGACCCTGCCTTAAAACAAAAAATAAGGACTCAGAATGCAGCTCATTGGTAGAGGGCCTCAAGGTTCACTCCCCAATTCGCCCCCACAAAAGAAAAGCAATTGAACTTCTAAAGGCAGTGCAGTAAATAAGTATTATGAACATATTAGTTGAAAGAGAGTAAGAGTACATTTACTAGGGGGAATGTAATTGTACATTTTACCTTCCTCGTATTGGGTCATCTTAAACTTTGGCTTTGCATGCAAAACAAGCAAACAAACAACTGGGCACAGTGGCCCAGGCCTGTGATTCCAGCTACTCAGGAGGCCGGCAGGAGGATTATGAGTTCAAAGCCAGCTTTAGCAACTTAGTGAGGCCCTAAGCAACTTAGTGAGACTCTGTTTCAAAATAAAATATTTAAAATAAAAGGGCTATGGATGTGGCTCAGTGGGTGAGCATCCCTGGGTCCAATACCTGGTGACTCCCAAAACAGAAACCTCCAATCTACTGCTTTAAATTTGCTTTTAGCTCTCTTTTTATTTAGCAGATTTTATCAAATTAGCTTACCCAATTTTATTTTGCTTAAGTCATGAACAGCTAGATTCATTTTAATATTAAAAAACGGAAGAAAACACATTAGATGCTCTTGTTTTAATTGCTATAAACTATGGATTTCAATCGATCACTTGTCCTGTTTCCTATAAACTGTGGATTTCAGTCGATCACTTGTCCTGTTTCCTTCAGGTTGGTCCAGTGATTTTTAAAGTTTCTCTTTGAGGAACTAAGACGATGCTGGAGGGACCAAGCATCCTGATCCTCCCATTCCCACTTCAACAAGTACATACACATCTCTTAAGCATTTGGCTTCTTGCACGAGCTTTCATTTGGTAGGAAATGGAGTGCAAAAGTCAAATAAGCAAGAGAAAAACCACTGGTTTGCTTTGTCTGGAAGAGAGGGGTCCAAATTTTGATGTTATACGAGTTTCCCTGTAAATCTGCTAGTGTCTGATTCTCTGTCTTTAGGGAGCAAAAGAAGAAATTTGAGTAGCCTTTGTTTAAAAGATGTAAATATTGATCATAGAATCATTTCAACCAGATTCATAGAAGGTCAGAAGAAGCAAATAAAATGGAAAGAGTGTAGAATAGATCAGCTTTATGAGTAGTGAGATAGCTTGATGGACAGACAACTAATTGTCCTTGGGGACAGTGCCCTGGAGGAGAACCCCTGGAGCAGGAGTGGAGTGTATGAGGTCTTAATAGTCACTGGGCTTCCTTTTCCTCATCTTCCTTCTTTTCCTGTATAAGGCCAGGAAGGTGTGATCCCTTTGCTCATCTGTTGTAAGGGTTGTGGCTGATGCTCCTGTAACACAGACAGGTTCACTAGAGAAAAGCAAAACAAATGCATTTAGTTAAAGTTTTACATAACACAGCGTATTGAGAAATGAAGACCCAAAGTCCCTGGGGAATAGAAACTTTCAATGTTTATGCCTAGGCTAATAAAGAATGACAGCCATGTACAAGTGTGATTAGAAAGAAGGGTCCAACTTAATGGTAATGGACTGAGATGGAAGTTTGGGGGTCTCTCTGTTCAGATTTTTCTTGGCCTCTGAGTGGCATTCTTTTCTTCTACATATTGGTCAGGACACCTATTGTGAGGGTCTTCAGGGAAGGAGAGAGAAGATCAGAGACTTACCTTTCTAGGTTTTATGCCTTTACTTTGGAGAACAAAATTTCTAGTTTCCATAGCTTGCCAAAGGACAGGAATTCTGCTTTCTGTGACTTGCTTCAGGGGAGAAAGAGGCGTGTGAGTCAGAAGGAATGGAGAAGGTCAAAAAGTCCTCTCTGTTGGGGACATTCTGATCTCCCTCATTTGAAGAACTTAGCATGCCGAAGCACCTTACTTTGACATTTTCTGCATAGCGTTGCTTGGAAATGTGTCTCCATTGGGTACTAACCACCACTTAATTATTTTCCTAAATAGATGGGAAATTTAGGAGAAAGCTTTTTATTGCAGATAGACATAATGATTTCCATCATCCAGAGTAAGCAAATACATTTTTTAGCATTCCACGGAAGTCAAATCATAAGCACACTTTTAAATTGTTCTTTCTTCCATTTCAGCCGACCTGAATAATGTACGTTTCTCTGCCTACCGTACAGCAATCAAGATCCGAAGACTGCAAAAAGCACTATGTTGTGAGTTATTCTAACAAAGTTCCTCACTCTGTTCTTTGGATTCCCCTCCCAACAAAGATAAATGGAAAGGGCAATGCATTTGCAGAGTTAATCTGATTTGACGTGCACCTCACTCAAGGAGTTGGCTGTGTTTCTATAAATGCTTCATTATTTGCCCCAACAGAATGCAGGAGTAACACAAATGAACATATGCCATTCGCAGTTGGAGTACAAAATTAACCAAAACACAGGAGTAACATAAAAAGCTCTTTCAAAAATTATGCTGCCACCCAATTTAAAAGCATTAAATCATGAAATCACAGTAGTAGGTCATTGCCTTTTTACTGCTTTGTATTCATTTAGAAGTTTAGAGCTCCAAACAGTTTATTCCCATATGATCATATATTAAAGAAACATGAATCACGTTTCTGATCCAAATGGGAACTTTTACCTTAGCAAATTAGAGAAAAGTCTCTATTTTCTTCTTTAAAATATCTTGGGACTTTTAGTAGTATCAACAAATTTTTCCTGTGGAGGGTTTGTTCATAGTATTCTGTGATAGATATTTTGCCAAAAGGTTATTTCCCCCCAACACAACATAAAATTAAATAGAAATATGAGTACTTATGATAGAGCATAGATTTAAGCCATTTGTGGTTGTAGTTTTAATGATTGAGTTTATCCAAGAACATTTAGGCCTTGTCAGTTGCTACAGAAAATGATGTTTGCCTATATTTTTAAGATAATTTGAAAAGTTTCATTTGCTCTTGGTTTGCTGTCTTTTATTAATAGTTGTTACATGAATAGGTGGTTCAGTGAAACTGTAAAAAAATTACTCTTAGAGAAATGATGTTGGGGTTGAAAATTTTACTCTTTAAAAATTAATAGAAATTAACCATTCAAGCTGCCTACATGAGAGTTAATAGAGATGTTCAAGCACTCAAGAAAACAGCAGCACCAAGCTTTAAGAAAAAAATAACCTAAGTTCTGTGTGGAAGAGAAGTCGAAAGGGCTGAGAAACACCTGCAGATAAGGCAGGAAAGGGAAGATGAGGTGACATTGATTCTTAATGATCCACAGAGTCCCAGAGATAATGAGCAGACTCTGGTGGTTACAGCAAGTGTCACCAAATGACCAGTGCAAAAAAAATGGGAGCCAGGATGCTCCAGTAGGGCCCTGTATGTCAAGTGAGAAGAGAATAGAAGTAGATTATGAACACACAGAAAGGGCGTTCAGTCCACTCAGCGAGTCTGCAGTGACAGCAGTTTTGAAAAAGGGTCAGTTGCGTGTCCACTACCCAGCTGACAGGTCTAGAAGGGCTTCTCAGGCCTGATGAGCTATGAAATGAGGACAAATGACTCAGCCACAATCTCCGCAGACAGAAGCCCACTTTGTATCATTATGAACATGGGTCCCAGTTTTTTGGTAATACTTCTGGGTGGATAAGCATGTTAATGTGTTTGGTGTTTGTTTCTGTTGATTCTTTTCTGAAGAAAAGCTCCCTCTTTCAGCTCATTTTTAAGCCTGAAAGGAACAGAAGAGAGACTGCTCCAACTTCTACACTAAAGGTCATTTTGTAGTGCACAGGGGAGTGCTGGGTAGTGTGGGGTCTTGAGTATCCAGGGGACAGCCTCGCCTGTCTCTATGTCCATCTCTTACACAAGGAAGCCACTGAGTCTTCTTTGCCATTGCCTTTGGCCTCCTCTGGGCTCCAGTCGGGGTCTGTTTATGATTAATCGGCTCCTTCCTCTCCCATCTTCTCTGTTTACTCAATATGTTCTGACCACTCCGCGGCAATGGTCTGTAACCCTTTATTCCTCCCAAATTCTGTTAAAAATTTACCTCTTTCGGAAACATTTACAAGCAAATCCCACCTGCCTCTGATTTCCCTAGTGCTTTATGATTGCCTGTAATGACAGTTTCTCACCTGAGCAACATATGCCTGCCTCATGTGATAGAGTCGTGGTCCAAGGGTTCAGAACTGCTGTTGGTCAGGGTCAGCTCTCATGCTGTGCAGATCCACCCCCGGTGTAATGCCTTAATAGGGAGCACTCTGTGGCTGTTCTGCCATTAGTCACTCATGTTTAGGACTCCAAGATCGTATAGATGAAACAAGGTGGAGACTGGCTTCTCAGGGTTAAAGAACTCAAATTCATCTGAGAATGTTCCATGTAGCCTCAGTGCCCCTGTAAGCAGATGTCTATTGCCCTTAGAGGGGAATGGCCTTCGCCTGGCCTGTCTCTATGTCCATCTCCTACACTTTGCTCCCCTGTGGACTCTCACCATTTCTTACTTTGCTTACTGAAATGGTAGACTTGGTATCTGCTCCTCCTGAAATGCTCTTGTCCTAGCACTTCGAGCCTGTATTCGTCCCATGGCTACTGTGTTCTCTTCCTTTGGGTCTCAATTTGGCTGCCATCTGTATTTTAATTTGGCTCTCTGCAGCTTCTCCCTGAAGCAGCTTACTCCTGCTGTGACATCTCATGGAATCTCTTCTTTCCTTACATGATACTTGTCATGGGTTTGACTCAGGCACTAAGGCAAAGGGTCGTAATTGTTAATATTATATCTAGGTACTTATTTGTTATCTGTCTCTCCAAATGAATTAAGCTTTTACGAGAGGGATGAGTCTATGTTCTTCTCTACTTAGGGCTTCATATAATTTCTGGTGCAGAGTACAGGTCACTCAGGACATATTAAGTGAATGATTTGAGTTTGAAGGTTATATAGGACTGCACCAGAGATGTGTACAAGATTTATAGTAGCATTTTTAATAGTAAAATTTGTTTAATCTTGACATATTCATAAATGTGATATAACTGAGCAGCAAAAATCAATGAACTAGCAATTCACATCAGCATAGTGAATGTTGGATCTATAAAGTGGGATGAAAAAATCAAATGGCAGAAGAAATTTGTACAGTTCAGTTTTATTTGTATATCGTTCAAAACCATGAAGAACTAAATGTTGTACAGTTCAGTGACACATATAAACTTTAAAGAACTAAAAGTGAAATAGAAAGGTTAAAGGTAACCCTGTCATTTTAAGGGGGCATAATTAGAGAGGATTTATGAGAAGCTTTGATGATGTTGGTAATTTTCTATTTCTTTAGTTGTGACATGGTTTAATTGGTACTCCTGTGAGTTTTCTTCAAACCACACATGTACTACCTGTGTGTGTGTGTGTATAAAGAATATATATTGTATTGTGATGTAAGGGCTTTTTAGGAACAAAGGATAGTGGAGAAGCAAAGGGAAGTGTTGAGGAGGGAACCAGTTCCTTTTATCATGAAGCTCATTTTTTCTTGAGAAATATACACAGGATTTAGGTGTGTGGCTAGTAACCAGGAATAAAAAGGGAGGTAGTTCTGTGCATAAGAAAGCAGAAGGTTTATGGATCATAAATCATCAAGCAATGGGGTCCGAATGGAATAGCTTAGCCATTTGCCCAGTATCCAGAAATGTCCTTTAATTCAGTGTCGGTCCGTTTAGAGGTCATTTCTTTCCTGAAATGTTTATTGATTCTTTAGCGTTTTGTTCCTCTAGTTCCCATAGTGTCATAGTTAATGTTCAGATACTTTTTTGTACAACCGACTCCTGTGTGAATTTGGAGATAGGGCCAAGAGGAGAAAGTATGCATTAGAGAATATTTAAAACAGATAGAAGGGCAGAAGGAACAGAGGATGAGTAGATGGTTTGCGAGAATGCTGATCAAGGCTGAGCTGGCTGGTGTTAGTGGGAGGGAAGAAAGAAATCTCAAGATTTGAATCACATGGGATACAATATCCCATTTTTCTGAGTATACAGGTTGCAGAATCACATTGGTCATGCAGTCACATATATACACACAGTAATAATAATGTCTGTTGCATTCTACTATCCTTCCTATCTCCCCAACCCCTCCCCTCCCATCACTTGTCTGTACCTGATCTAAGGTAGTGCTGCTCTTTTTTTTTCCTCGTATCTTCATACATATATTTTGTATAACAGTGAGGTCTCCTTCCACCATCCATGCAATTCCCTTTCTCCCTCCCTTTCCCTCCCACCCCTCTTCCCTATGTAGAAGTAATCTTCTTCCCATGCTCTTCCTCTCTTACCCATTTTGAGTCACCCCCCGCCCCATATCAAAGAAGACATTTGGCATTTGTTTTTTGGGGGATTGCCTAACTTCACTTAGCATAATCTGCTCTAATGCCATCCATTTCCCTATAAATTTGCCATGATCTTATTATTTTTTAGTGGTGAGTAATATTCCATTGTGTATGTATGCCACATTTTTTTTTTTTTTATCCATTCATCCATTGAAGGGCATCTAGGTTGGCTCCACAGTCTAGCTATTGTGAATTGTGCTGCTGTAAACATTGATGTGGCTATGTCCCTGTAGTATGCTGTTTTTAGGTCTTTGGGTATAGTCTGAGAAGAGGAATAGCTGGGTCAAATGGTGGTTCCATTCCCAGCTTTCCAAATTGGCTGTACCAATTTGCAGTCCCACCAGCAGTGTATGAGTGTACCTTTAAAAAAAAAAAAAAAAGAATTAACACCTGGGCACTGCCTTTGCAGGTTTTTTTTTTACAATGACTTGGATGCAGATTACTGTCCTGGAAATAGGCAAAGCACCCAGTTTGACCTTGGTTTTTGCCAGGCTGCCATCATGTGACAACTGCAGATATTTCTCATCAGTGGGCTACTGAGCCCAGGCACACAGCTTGGTTTTAAACTGTTTTGAGCTCTTTGTCTCTACTGTAATGATTGCCATTTTCTGCCTCCAGACAGAATGCAGGTTCAAGAAATTAATTGATCTCATTTGGAAGAAAATAAAGTTCTAATGCTGCCATCCAGGTTAAAAAAAAAAAAAAAGAAAGAAAGAAATTTGGGTAGTACTGTTGGTAAGCTGATGTTGCTTAACTCAATTATAGTAACTGAATTTTCTGCAAATCAGAATTGTAAAAAGATTTGAATGCCTATAAATTCCTTATTTTCCCATCATTATGCCTGTTATTAGATATTTATATATAATAAAACTTGAAGCAAATTGGAAAAAAAAAAGGAAATCTCAAGATTTGCAGCCTAGATTTCAGTGTAGGAAGACAGGACCTTTATTTGGAACATAGCAAGGTAAAGATTCCTAAAAAAGAATGGTAGGCTCTAGTAGGAGACCCAGCAACAGGAACGTGGGTCTGGTGTTCAGGCGGGAGATAAGAAGAAAAGGGAAACAGGATTCATCTGGATAAAAGTCTTACTGAAGTCATGAAGTGACCGAGGGCAGGAGGCTTAGAACATTGAAGGCCAAGTGTGAAACCTTGAGCACCAGCTATATTTCTGTTTTGCTTGGGAAATGGACATAGGAAAGTGCTAAGAAGGAACAGGCAAACCACTTCAGACCTAAAGAAAAGCCAGAGAAGCCCAAGGTCGGGTGTTTTCTGGCAGAACAGAATAAAGATGCATTTCTACTTGATCCCCTGTGCCCCATGTGTGGGATTAAAGAAAAAGTGTGAAAGTTGGTTAGAAAATGATTCTGCTGTTTGTTTCATTTACCGCATGACTGGGCTGTCATTTGTCTCCCTTTGAAAAGAGAAAATCATAATTTTCTGTGATTTAAATGTAGTCAGTTCTTTAAAGGCACCTAAATGTGACACTCTTCAGGAAGATGTATGCTTGGCTTAGGCACTGAGGCAAAGTGTCAGAGTAAATCACTGAAAATTGAAGACATGATGGTCTGTGGGATGTGGCAAATTACTGTCACAGCTGCAGAGTGCATAACAAGGGAGCCTTTTCTAAAGAAGTGAAGGACAGTTTGATTCAGGAAATGGTCTTTTTGAAATCTGGTCTGTTGTCACTTTATGCCATGTGGGGGTCCAACAGCAATGGCCTGTTGCTGGCATAATTAGTATTGGAATTCTGAAAACTTAGACCGCTTTGGCAGCATTTGAATGTATTTCTTTGTATCTGTGGGGAATTGCAGATCTGTAGCTACTGTCCTTTATTAAGCATTTTCTTTGTCAGGCATCTTGGAGATATGAATTTTGCTACTGCTAGCCAGAGGTTTCTAATTGAAAACAATCTGAAGTGCCAAGAAATGAGGTAAAACTGATAATAAAAATTCCAGATGGTTCTTAGATTTTTTTTCTGGCACCATCTCTAACTCATGTGAAGCTCATACAGATTATTCTTATAATCATTTTACCAATGATCCATGTGAAGCCTAAAGGAAAGTATTGGCCTGTGGTCCCGACATGTATGTTTTATGTTAGAGTCTGTCTTTAAAAAAAAAAGAAAGTTCTTCCCATTGAGTTGTTTCAGAAATTGTTGTAGTCTCTATAGTTTTAAAGTAATTCTTTTTCATTGCAGATACATTTAAAAAACACATAATTCTATGGTGTCTAATCAGCTAACATTGACACATTTCATAAATGTCTTTAAAAATCTAAATTAACGGTTATTCAATAGTTAGAAATAGGTAAACACAGGGAAGCTATTTGCTCATTTTGGTTAACTGTCAAAATATGCCATAGGTTTTGAGGAAACAGTTTTCGCATCAGGCGAAGAGGAAGTGGTTGGTTATATGTTTTTTGAAAAGTTCCACTGATATTATGTTTTTTTTTTTAATTCTCAAAAGTGAAAGGTGGAGATAGTAGATAAATTTTAGAGAACAGTAATTTCCACGAGAAGATTTTAAATTAATATGGGTTCTGTAATGTCTTATGCCCTTATGTTTAAATTTGGAAGGGTCATTTTCTATAACTCAATAACATGCAATGAATAACTCAAAGTCTATTTTCAAAATGGAGAAGATTTCATCTTTGTCTGAGCCCCTCCACTTGGCTTTTGTGGGCAGCATGTGACTGTCCTGGAGCTCTGCATGTCCCCTTCATGGTGACCACATGCACCCCTGTGTAAGTGACATGTGCATGCCATTCCTTAGGACCTCCTAGACTTGCTTGAGTTCTTTTCTGTTCTCAAGCGATTCTACCCTCTGGAACTCTTTGCTTGCTTCCCATGGTTCTCTTGAATATTGTCTCATTTACACAGCCCATTTCAAATCCCACCTCATTGGGATTTTTCAGTTGTCTTCCTATGAAGCATCCTTTATCCCAGACCTGAAATCCAAAATCTGAAACTCTTTGAGCACCCACATGATGACACAAGTGGAAAAATTCCATGCCTGACCTTTTGTGATATGTCACAATCAAAATGCTAGTGCTCTAAAAGTCTTATACATTTTTAATTGATTTTATTATTTTTTAAATACATGACAACAGTGGAATGCATTACAATCCTTATTACACATATAGAGCACAATTTTTCATATCTCTGTATATAAAGTATGTTCACATCAATTATATAAAGTTACCTGCAGTCTATTTATTCAAAGTCTATATGAACCAAGTAAATTTTGTATTTAGATTTGATATTTCATTATGTATATGCAAATATTATAATATTCAAAACAAAAGAAAATAAAAAATCCAAAATACTTTTGGTTACAAGCATTTCTGCAAAGGGATACTCATCCTGCACTAGCTCTCTGAGAGGGTCATGTATTCTTCTCTTAGGGTACTTTTGTCCTTTTCATAAAGTTATCAGGAAGGCTTTGGGTTTCAGGGGCTCTGTGTGTACTCTAGACTCTCTCTAGTACTGGCCTTGCCCACTGTAGATGTTTTATACTTGAAGGGTAAGGATAAGAGCAAATAGATATGTGAAGAACAGTGTCCTCCTGAGAACCTCTGCAAATCTTCCTTGGCTACAGGTTGCCAAGGTGCCAGAGCCTCATGGGAAGTAAGCTAGATTGGGGCCAGACTGTGTCAGCCCATTGATCAGGCTTGATTCAGGAGGCATTGGAGAATGATTGTATTCCTACAGAACCTGCTTTTTACCTGAGCCTCACCAATGGACTCCGTATGTCATTATATATGTGTTAAAATATCTTTTTGACTTGAAAAATTGTGCTCTATATGTGTAATGTGAAATGAATTGCATTCTGCCTCATATATAACAAATTTGAATAAATAAATAATTTAATAAAAAATAAAATAAAACAAAATACTCTTTTCAAGGACCCCATTAGTCTGGAAGTTATATAGAGTAGTTGAACAGTGGGTACCAACCAATAGTTAGATAAGAGCAAGAAGTTCTGGGATGCTGTTGCATAGTAGGGTGATTATAGATGGTAATAATGTACTGTACATTTTTGAAAAGCTAGAAGGATCTTGAATGTTTCACCATTAAGAAGTTATCCATATTTGAGGAAATAGGTACCTTTAACCTGATTTAAGCATCACAAAATGTATTCACATATCAAAATGTCACATTGTACCCCATGTGTATTAATGTCTATAATTTTTGTTCTTAATGTCAGTTTAAAAGTCAACTTTTAAAAGTCAAAGAACAGAATTGCTATTATTTCTTTAAAAATCAAAATTGACTTAACAGGATCAATTCTTTTTATTAATTTTTTAATTTATATTTTTATATTTATATATTAATTTTATTTATATATGACAGCAGAATGCATTACAATTCTTAATTACACATGTAGAGCACAATTTTTCATATCTCTGGTTGTATACAAAGTATATTCACACCAATTCGTGTCTTCATATATGTACTTTGGATAATGATGTCCATCACATTCCACCATCATTTCTAACACCATGCCCACTCCCTCCCCCACCCACTGCCCTATCTAGAGTTTGTCTATTCCTCCCATGTGCCTCCTCCCTACCCCACTATGAATCAGCCTCCTTATATCAGAGAAAACATCCGGCATTTGTTTTTTTGGGATTGGCTAACTTCACTTGGCATTATCTTCTTTAACTCTATAGATTCACCTGCAAATGCCATGATTTCATTCTCTTTTATTGCTGAGTAATATTCCATTATGAATACAAACAACAATAAGTGTTGGCGAGAATGTGGGAAACAGGTACACTCATACATCACTGGTGAGACTGCAAATTAGTGCAGGTAATATGGAAAGCACTATAGAGATTCCTTGGAAAATTGGGAATGGAACCGCCATTTGACCCAGCTATCCCTCTCCTTGGTCTATACCCAAAGGACTTAAAAACAGCATACTATAGGCACACAACCACATCAATGTTTATAGCAGCACAATTCACAATAGCTACACTGTGGAACCAACCTAGATGCCCTTTAATAGATGAATGGATAAAAAAAAATGTGGATCAATTCTTAAATGGAAGAGTCTAGCTAAGTATTTGAGACTAGAAATGCTTTTGGATCAGTGTTGTCATGTGCAGTGACCAAACATAATCCTTTTTCTCACCTGATTAGTGGATCTCTTAGAGTTGAATACAACAAATGAAGTTTTCAAACAGCACAAGCTGAACCAAAATGATCAGCTCCTCAGCGTTCCAGATGTCATCAACTGTCTGACGACAACTTACGATGGACTTGAACAAATGCACAAGGACCTGGTCAACGTGCCACTCTGTGTGGATATGTGTCTCAACTGGTTGCTCAATGTGTATGACACGTGAGTTTCTATTTTTTCATTAAATTACAATCATTGGATTAAATATGTTGATAACAGAATGCATCTAATATTTAAAGATATTTTTAAAAGCATGCATTTTTTTTTACAAAGTACTTTCATAGTATTCATTTCAGTGGAAATATTTATTTTAGATGTTGAAAATAAATATCTTTCCAAATCACTGAACTCTTAGCAAACAATAGATGAAAAGGAATATGCAACTACTATTTGAAGATTTTGCTTCAGTTTACAAAGGCTGTCAAATCTGTAGTATTCTTTGTCAAGAAGCTAGAGAAATCAAAGGTAACCAAGTCTGATTTCCTTCTCCTCCTTCTTTAATGTCTTATATTATTTCCTTTTTAAAAAAGAAAAAATCTTGTATTATTGTTATGAGCTAGAATAATTTATGAGCTCATAATAATCTGTTCTTCAGTCTTAGTGTGACATCTTAAGAGCAATTTGAATGGCAATGAACGCGATTTAAATTGTCTTTTGATATTAGCTTATTTATTGCCGGGGTGGTTATGTGTATATACGGTGTTTTAAATAATGTATTCTACAGGACTCTATCTGTAATTTAATTTGGTGCTCACTGTTACATAAAGAGCACTCTCAACTTCCAGCATAACTCATCTGCCATTAATTTGGCCCTTGTGATTATGGCAATGAATTTGTGAGCTAATCAGTTCTAGAAAGACTTGCTGTGGGCTGACATTTCTGAAACACTAGGAATTATTCATTCTTCTGGTAGGGGGTTAAAATATGCAAAGATGAAACAGGAAAATTAGGACTGTTGCCTGTCTTGGAATCTAAAAGTTATTGTCTCTTAACTAGCTGTAGGAAAATTTGTGTTCGTCAGCTTTTGTTTAGAAAGAAGATAGATTATAGTTCATTACCCTACTTATTTAGCAGCTGATTGATTCTGTGTAAGAAATAAGTGATGGTGACAGAGGTTTATAAATGATTTATTTAAATTTTTATTTTTTAGAAAATTTTTTTTATCTTTCAGCATTCACAAATATTATAAAGTCTTTTTTTTAAATAATAAAATATCCATTGTGTGCTTAAGGGCTCTTAAGAAACTCACTGACACATGAGTCTCAGTTACCATAATGAATATGGGATTTACTACATCCCTGTCTGAGGTCTATGAATACTTTTCATTTTAATGCAAATTTTTATTCTCCTAGAGTAAAATATTCCCATTAACCATCCTTAATTTTAATTTTAATTAACCATCCTTAATTTGCTCATCAATTTTTTTTAAAAAAAATCCTCAAGAGACATTTTTTTATAGTAAATTCACTGAAATAGCTGGTCAATTAGATGTTTTAACTGCACATGCTTATACTTAATTTTACGTCCCAGGAACAATCCTAAATTCGAAAAATACTGAGGAACTTCATTTAGCCCTATGGGGTATGGTTGTAGTGTATGTCTTTCACATTCTAAGGAAGAACCAGAGAAGAAATTGAAATTTTCCTGCAGCATTATCTGTGTCTCTGACATGCTACATTAGTTTTCTTTTTTTGTTTTTCTCAGATAGAGAAAAGTTTGTTTTACAGAAAACACAAAGGAGAAGAAAGAACCAAAAGGCAAAGCTGACCTAACCCCCAGGACTCATACACAGGAGTGGGCAGGGAGCGTGCTTCTGTAGCATTGAGGAACACACAGTCCATACAGCACCTGACCCCACTTTATTAGATTTCTAGGGCTTCCATAACTAAATGGGATGGACTGGGCAGCTTAAATGGCAAAGTTTATTTCCTCCCAGTTCTAGAGGCTAGAAATCTGAGATCAAAGAGACAGCATGGTTTCCCCACCTACTCCTAGACCTCTCTTTTTGGTTTGTCAATGGTTGTCCTCTCTGTGTCCACACTTGGTCTTTCTTCTGTGCTATCTGCTCATCTCCTCTTCCTATAAGGATACCAGGCACAGGAATTCAGGACCCACCCTAATGACCTCATTTTAAGTTACTTAATCATTTAAAGACCCTATCTCCAAGTACAGTCACCTGCTGAGATACTGGGAGATTGGACTTAAGCATATGAATGTAGAGGAACACAGTTCAGTTCAACCCACACGTGTGCTATTTTCACTGGACAGCCCAAGGGAATAGTGCCACTTATCTGGGTAGGAACCAGCATGTGAAATGTTGTGATTCATATTCTAGGGAGTTAAATGTTAGCTTAATTCCACCTCCCACCATCAAATGTGGACACATGGAAATACTATACTAAAGTGCTACTTTTTATTTAGGATAGTGTCTTGCAATTTCTCATTTTTCATTTTCAACAGAAAAAAATGTTTGCAGGACTTATTTCCCTTCCATGCCAAAGAAAGATGGAGTCAGATGGTGTCCATTTAGTCTAGCTTTCTCTCTTGGAGAGGAGTATCATGGATTAATCTGAGGAAAAGAGCAGTTACTTTTTTGATGTTAATCTCATATGTGTGGAATTAATTGCCCAAGTTTCTCAATTAACTTTGATTTACTCATTTACATACATAATAGTTATTAACTTTTTTCAAGTTATAGTTCTTTTAAAGAAATATGATGGAATCTATGATCCATTAGAAGTCCATGAACCATAGAAATGATACTTTTATTCAGCGACTTTGATATTTGTTCATTGTAGTAGTCAGCTTCCCATCGTTGTAACAGATAATTAAAATAACCGATTTATACATTAAAAAAACGTTCATTGGGACTTACAGTTTTAAAAGGCTTCAATATATAATCAGTTGGCCCCATTGCTTTGGGCAAGGTATCAGATCATGCTGGTAATATATGGCAGAGCAAAATCACTCACCTCATGGCAAGGAAGACAGAGAGAGAGAAAGAGGAAGAGACCAGGTCCTACAATCCCTTGTAAAGCCATGTACCCAATGACCACGAGATCTCCCAGTAGGCCCAGCTGAAAATTTCCACCACTTCACAATAGTACCCCACTGGGGCCCAAGTCTCTAATACATGGGCCTTTGGGGGACATTCCAGATATAAACTATTGACCATATATTTTTGACTGGCTTATTTTGTGATGTATCATGAAAGCAAAAAAGACATTTTCAGCTTCAACTACCTCTTGAAATAATAAGTGGTATAAATATAGTATAGATCATAGATTTCTCTTAAGAAGAAGGACTTTGAGGATCTTAGAGTCTGCCATCTTTATTTTACTGATTGAAAAACTGATAGGAGACCATTTATCCACAGCCACTTATTACAGATTTAATGATAACTATGGATCTAATATTCAGATAGTTTTGGTAATCAATTGATTATTCTTACCATCTTATAGTATCTAGGAAAAAAAGTACTTTATAAATAATTTCAAGTAAACTGTCTCTTTCAAGTTTTAAAGTGTACCGAACTCCTCCTAATATTCTGAATTTTATGAGAAAACAAAATCCATGTTCATCTGTTGTAGATGACAAGAAAAAAAAAAAATTCAGAGTTGGTTTTGGTTGCTATGTGATTTGGCAGCCACTTAACTTTGGCATCTCAGTTTCTCACATGAAAAATTGAGATAAAAATATCTGCTCAGCTTATCCCATAAAAGGTGACGGTGAAGGGTAAATGTACTAATATATGTAAAAAGGACTTTATCAGCCATAAAGATAAAATTGATTCCATTTATGAATTCAGTCTTACTCAGTCTTCATCTTCCCAGGTTAAAAAGTCTTAATTTAGCAATCTTCCTTCCAGATTTAACGGAAATCAAAAGCGTTTAAATCATGATTTAAAGCAATAGTCTGGAACACTTCGTTCAAATATTTTTTTCTTTACAGAGAGTATTAGCCCCATTTGTTGTAGTGTCAAATCATTCCCTCCATCGCTTGCTTTTCCAGTATGGATATAATTTTAAAGATACTTAACTTTCCAGTTAAAATAAATCAGAAGTTACTTATAAAAAGCCATCGAGAGGAACCAAATACTTAAATATTGGGCTGTATGACTCATTCATACATTTTATTGGCTCCCTATTGTCTCTTAATTTGGATATCTTATTTGACCTCAAAACCATCTATCCTGTGGCCCCATATAACCAGTATAACCTAATCAAACAGTTAATCCCAATGCAAGTTCCTTCCCCACCCTAACCATCTTGCATCTGGTGATCCCACCCCAGCCTCTTCCCCTTGCTCAGACTTTTCCTAATGTACTCTACTTTTTTCTAATTGAGATAGTACAGCTGTGTCCTATTGTCTCTGCCTGATTTTAGACTTACTTTCTGTATCCGAGGTCATGAGACTGATGACTAGTCAACCGAAGTGATGTTGTATTTGATTCTTCACTTCCATTTGCAAAGGCTGGCCTCCTATTTTCTCTACTTATTTCTTGTCTTACCTTCCTCAATAGTGTGTGAGCCCATCATGGATAGGAATCAGGACTTCAATGTTTTTATCTTGGTCCCTGCAGTACATAGAACATGCTGGGATCCGAGTAAGCCTTCTTAACCATTGATGGTGGAAGAATGAATGAATGATTGGCATTTTCATTTGACTTCCTGATGATGTTCCTTTCTCATCATGTCATGGAGGCCACATTAAAATGCATATCATTTTGATTATTTTTCCCTTAAGGGATTGCTTTGTCTTCAGCCACATTCATGTACTAGTCTGAGATCATTCTATAGTCTTTTGTTACTTTCTGCGAGTCTATTGTCTGTGGTCAGAGAATAAAAACTTTCTGGTTTTACAAAGGAAGAAAGCAGGCATTGTGTATTTCATGTGATAATTAGGAAACTCTTAAAAATGTTAAGTAGAAACACAATTTATAGCATGGCTCGGTTTAGAGATTAATTTGAAAGTGATATTTTTTAATTGTGAGCAGTTGGAATGAGTATTTTAATTTAGAAATTCTGCTACAGGGCTATATTTTTTTAAACATTTAAGTACTTATTATTTCAAAGGTCAATTCTGAATGTTATATATATAAATAATTAGGATTCAATAAACTCATTGGATATGACAATGGAATTATAAACCCCTAGACTTTTGAGAGACTACTCTAAAAATTCATTTCTCCAATCTCTAATCATGCTTTCTTTTATAATTTATTTTATGATTTGTGTCATGGTTTACATATAGAAACTTACTTGAATATGTACAATTTGAGAATGAAAAAAAAAATCAACTGAAATTACCAGTAAAATACCAACAAAGGCAGGCATGGTGGCACATGCTTATAGTTATAGCTGCTCAAGAGACTGAGGCTGGAGGATCATGAATTTAAGGCCAGCCTGAGAAACTTAGTAAGGACTCTGTTTAAAAAATTAAAAAAATAAAAATAAAAAGGGGTAGAGTTGTAGCTCAGTAGTTGAGCATTGTCTAGCATGCACAAGGCCCTGAGGTTCCATTCCCCGTACCACATAAATAAAAAACAAAACAAGCAAAAAAAGAAAAATCAAGATTTAAATTTAATTTGGAAATATGATTACTTAAAATTACAAATATTTATGTTTTTAATATATCAAAAGTTAGTAAATCTTAAGTATTCATATGATTCTGCAAACATTTATTTTAAGGTTTGAAGTATCTTACACTTGTACATTGAAAACATATCCTAAGAAAATCAAAAATAAAAACCTGAAAATTGATCCCAAATCTGAAATAATAAATATAGAAAAAAAAAAAACTTCTTTTTGGGCTGTGTATTTTTCCATTGGAATGATTGTTACTTATTAACTTTGGTGATTCTTTTCCCATCCCAACATCTAATACTTTGACCAACATTTGGTGAATGTCTTAGCCATTCTTTGATAAGTTTGGAAATAAAGACAACTCTCTGGTTTTAAAGATAATGTTTTTCTTCTAATCAACTTATAAGTGAAAGTGAAATGGTTTCTTATCTGCATACTGTGAAATAATTTCTTAGCTTTGATTAGTTAATGCAATCTATTAATTATAATTGGATTGTTTCACAAACACAGATTCCACACCTATCTGTTTAAGATTATTGACTATTAAAATTGCAATAGTTATTTATAAAGATGGCACTGAAAGAACCAAAGTAAATGAAGACAGCAAGTTCAAAGTTCTCAGTGTGTTGTTAATTTTCTAGTCAGTTTTCTTAAATTTGTTTTTAGATATATCAGTGGCCCTTTCTTGCTATATTGTCACATGCATATTATCTGTAGCTTTAGTGTTCTATTTTGATTCTTGTATTTATCATTACCAGATGTTAATCCAAAGCATTTATAAAAATGAAATCTTTTTAGCTTTATAATTATTGTTTTCATTTTGCTTTAATCTGTTCTTAGTTCATATGTTGTGTGAAAAGTTAAATCAAACACAGTTAAGATATGTCATGAACTTAGGTTACCGGTTTAATATTAATTGTTCATAGTGAAAAGTTGACTCTTTAGTAGTTTACTCTCAAGAAAATAGATATTCAGGAATAATTAACATACCGTTTTAAATGCATCTAACATATTGAGGTTTTTATAATTTCAGGGGTCGGACTGGAAAAATTAGAGTGCAGAGTCTGAAGATTGGATTGATGTCTCTCTCCAAGGGTCTCTTAGAAGAAAAATACAGATGTATGTAAGACCTTTCATATGCCAACAGTGCTGTTAATAATAATGATTATAACAGTTTATGAGACTTAATTTACACTACTTGCTAGTAATAATAGCTCCATTTTTTTAAACCCTTACCATTACATATGCCTGTTTGGACAACAGGTGACAGTGCAAAGAGATTTGGATTTGCATGCAGTGAAAGGCTGATGGTAGAACCCCAAGGTGGAAGAGTCTTGATGGAATGAGGGCCAGTCACAAATTTTTATCTAATTTAATCCTTAATTTCCCTATGAATGTAGACATTGTGATTTCCATTTTCAAGGTAAGACAATTAATGGTGACATGTTGAGATCTAGTCAGAGGCTGCAGAGCTAGTACATTGTGGGGCAAGAATTAGATATGAGATTATTTTTACTTCAAAGCCCAAGCCTTTTCTATTTGTATGTAATTCCCAGGGTTTGGGGGAGAAAAAGAATATTAAGATAATCTAAAACATCTAAGAACACAAAATATGATCCTAAATAATTATATTTTATAGTTGTGGCAAAATAAAAGGTGGTAAATGTTTTAGATTTCATTATGTTTGTTTATAGTCACCAAATAAATCAGCAGTGTCTCTTTAGCTGTCAGTTAGTGAAAGACATCGTGGCATTGCAAAGGGCATATGCTCAGGAATAGGGACACCTCCCTTTAGATCTCTACTGATTGGTGGCTGAATGTCGTTGAGCAGGTTACTTGATTCCTTGAGTACTGCCAACTAAGAGGTGACATTACTCCCATTTTACAGTCCAGGAAGCTGAAAGAGGATTTTCTTCAACTGAAAAATGAAGCTAATAATTCCTTCTTGAAAAGAAATTAGAGATAATATGCTAAAAAATTCCTCAAAGTAGCATTTGTTGAATCAATTGTAGCAATTGCTGCAAAATGTCTTAATTTAATTTTGTCAATAAAAAGTGAGTAACTTGATCCTGCCACGTGTATTCTCAGATGATTATATATAGATGAATGTATGCATTTGGAGGGGAAAGTGAGAGCTATTTCATGAATGGAGATATACCAAAATATAAAAGGAGAGGTTAGGGGGTGTAGCTCAGTGGTAGAGCATGTGTTTAGCATGCACAAGGCCCTGGATTCAAACTCCAGTGCCAAATAAACAAACAAACAAACAAAATCCACAACAAAAACCCAAGAGGATGTTTGATCACAGGTCCTGACAACTTAGCTTACAAGAATGTCAATGGAAAGAGATGTGGATTTGTATGAAAAGAAAAGCTGATGTTAGGATCAGGTTGAGGGGGCATGATGGAGAGAAAGCCTAGAAAGCTATGCAGAAATGTGCTTTACATAAAGCTTTGGTTTTGTGGCACTTTATCCAGAACTGAGTCGTTACCATCATAATCATAAAAAATATAATTTTATTTTAAATATTTATTTTTTAGATGTAGGTGGACACACAATATCTCTATTTCATTTTCTTTTTAATGTGGTGCTGAGGATTGAACCCAGTACCTCACCCATGCTAGGTGAGCACTCTACCACTGAGCCACATATACTTTTTTTAATATTTATTTCTTTTAGTTGTACACAATGCCTTTATTTTTATTTATTTATTTTTATGTGGTGCTGAGAATCGAACCCAGAGCCTTACACGCACCAGGTGAGTGCTCTACCGCTGAGCCACACCCCCAGTCCCCCCACATATAATTTTGAAAGCCAAAAATGTTATCATTTCTGTAATGATTGAGAGAGGAATATGTTAATGAAGGCATTGATGTTCCAAAATTAGAAAGATTTTTTTTTTTAAATCATCTGTGACTTGGGGTTTTAATGTGCTCCTGAAAGAATTAGGGTTCTCTAAAAGTAAGAGTTACAATGCCGAACTTCAAAATGAATGCAAATTCAACCTCAAAGCTTACATTTTCTATAATTCAGCATTAAATGTTCAGATTTTGGCAAGGGATGCAGAAAGCCCTGCAATGAAAATTTCTGCTATTTTATATAATTCATGATGTATGCCATTTTAGGACTTAATTAAATAAGAAATCTCGTGGGTTGCCATCTTTAATCTAAATCTTTACTGGGATATTCAGACTCTGGGAATGTTCTGAGGTTTTGTTTTGCCTTTCTATGTTGAGATTTTTAGCAACTCTGATTCCAGTTTTGATTTCCCCAGTGAAATCCGAACATCTTCTTCTTATTATTTCCTTTAAAAGAATTAATATTCAAGGCAATTTGCTCTTTAAACTCAGTGACAGAGGTGCCACTCGGGGTCAATTATTATCTGTCTGAACATGGATTTTGCAGTGGCCAAAGTCTGTGTCTTCACCCCATGACACCTCCCTGTCTCTCAATACCTTCCTGAGTATATCCCTGGAGTAGGTTCTAGCTGTCCCCCTTCCTCCTTGCTTGTAACTGAGTTTCTTCTCAAGCTCATCAAAGGCACATGCATAGAGCATCCTTTTGAATGGCCATTTACATTTTTTCTGTGCTGATTTATTGGAATTTGGGGCTTTAAATCGTGACTTTCTTCTTTGGACCCATCCCTACATCCTGACCGTAATGTTAAAAATGTGAACTTTTACAAGAATTTAGAACAACATCATGGCGTTTAAGGACACTTTTCTCTTTACGTTTTGTGAGGAGTCTCTCCTTCACAGTAGCATTGCAGCATAGCTCTCTGCCTGAAAAGATGAGAGTTGGGCATGGTTGATCTTGCTAGAAAAGTGCACTCTAAAGATTATGACACATATGCACCACCTCTGGATTTACTTACTGATAAGCCTCTTCCCAGGAATGGGTTTACAAGAAGCATCATAAGAAGACTCCTCAGGAAATATTTTCTGTATCTGATAGTCTTATTTTTAAATAATGAAAAGAAACAAGTGGCACTCTAAGCAAATCTAAGTAAATAAATGGTAATAAAAATTAAATTTACCTTAATTGAATTTGCTTTTCCTATGTATGCTTGTAATTAAAGCCATATTTCTGTGTCAATACCACTGAGCTTGCGTCAGTTGTTGTTTGAAAAATTCACTGTTGTCAGTGTTAGATTTACCATCATTTCTCTTTAAGACTGATATGTTGATCTGATAGTTAGCAGATATTGTTTAAAAATGATTTTTTTGAAATCCAATAAATATTTACTCAGATTTCTTCTCTTTATAAAAAATTTCACAAGAAGAGCATTTAGAGTTTGTGTGCTTTTGAATTTTTAGACCTTGAAAATTCCTTCCAAAAAGTATTAATTTCTATAATAAAGCAGGCTGTTGTTATTTGATATTTCTCTGTATCCCCAAAGTAACTTATCTTAGTAAGTTACTTTATTATGTTGTTAACTTTATTCTGGGGAATATTGTAATAATTTTCATTTTTAAAACATTGCATTTAGTGAACAAAAGATAATCTAGTGCTAGAAAGAAGAGTTTTAATTTATTGATTTAAGAAAGTTAGAAAACAAATCAGTGCTTTTGTTTTGTAAATACAAAACCTGAAAGAGTACAAGAATACACAATGTTTTTAGTCTTTTAAATTTGAAAAAGAAATATTTATTTACATGAAATAAAATGAACATAATTTTTATAGCTAGTAAGAAAGAGACGGGCCTAAAAAGAGAAAGCACATCTATTTATACCTTTTCTCAAGAGAAACCATTAGTGAAACCATAAAATTAACCCATGTGTATTTATTGTAATATTTAAAAAGGAAATTTGTATTAATTGATCTATTTGTGTGCAGTTGTCTCCTGGATTCTAATGATCTTAATATTCTACATGTCTTTAATGAGGAACTAGTCTGCAGATACCCACGATATTAAGATCATTAGAATTCAGAGACAATTAATCTGATTTATGTCCTCCTGGATATTTTGTTTTTAATCTACACAGTTCTGTCCAGATTACCCAGGATATACTTTAAGCAAAAAAAAAAAAAAAAAAAAAAAAAGGAAGATGGACATTAACCCTGTGTCTTTCCCCCTTATAGATCTCTTCAAGGAGGTGGCAGGGCCAACAGAGACCTGCGACCAGCGGCAGCTGGGCCTGTTACTTCACGATGCCATCCAGATCCCTCGGCAGCTGGGGGAGGTCGCCGCTTTTGGAGGCAGTAACATTGAGCCCAGTGTCCGAAGCTGCTTCCAGCAGGTAAAGCTGAGGCCCCCTGGTATGCATGAGGTGTCAGGGGAGGACTTCAAGGACACTCCAAGAAGTAGAATGGGGTTTGGACTGGAGCTGAGAGATAGAATATTTGTGGTATTGTCCCAATGAATTAATATTTTATTTCTAAAGGCACGTTTAACTCAAAGAATAGGGATGTTTGCAAAGACACCCCCTCCTTTTTTTTCTTTATGAAGTATTAATCAGATTGCTGCATTTGGCCCTGCCTTTGCCCTGGCCTCACCTCCTGTCACTCATCCCCTGTGCTTTCCAGCCAGGATGATTTAGTTCCTTGATTCCTGCCTTTAGGCAGTGTTTGGAGTGCTCTTCCTTTCCCTCCACCTGCAAGCCCTGTTGTCCTCACTTGTCCTATTACATTTTTAGGTGTGACCTTAACTCTCGAATCCTCTGAAAATCCTCCTCTGACCTCTTCCGATGAGACTAGCTTTTTCTACTTTTCACCTTAACCTCCTCTACCTCTTTCTTCTCATGCTCCTCACAGTTAAAATTTCATGCTGAACTATGGAATCAGTTGTTTCATGTTTGCTTCTTCCGTATGCACCTAAGCTCCAAGAGGATAAGAACAGCGCCTGTCTGTTTATTGTTATATCCTAAGTCTCAGGCTGTTTTAATAAAATGCCACAAGCTGGGGTGGGGTGGCTTATAAACAACAGAAATTTATTTCTTAGTTCTGGAGGCTGGGAAGTCCAAGACCATGGTGCCAGCCTGGTATCTGGTGAGGGCAGCTTCTGGTTTATATACAGCTCTTCCTTCTTGTGTCCTTATCTGTGTAAGTTGCAAGGGAGCTCCATTGGGCCTTTTTTATAAGATTATTAATTCCATCATGAGGGCTCCACCCTCATGACCTAATCACCTTCCAAGTGTCAATATATGAGTTTTAGAAGGACGTAACATTCAGATTGAAGTGCATTCATTCCTACAATACCTCAAACATCAGAATTACTTTAATAACTATTAGCTAAATGCATGAATAAAAATACCTTGAAGCTCTTTGTAAACAAGATTTTTTAAAAAATTAAGTTAATGATATTATAAATATCTTTCCTTTGAGAATGTATCATAAAAGGAGAACAATGTGCAAAGTTTTATACAGATCTAAGTTACTAATTTTCACCCAGGAAAACACTTTAGTTTCTTTTTAATGCTTACTGTGTATAAAGATAAAGACATTTTAGAAATGTTACTGATGTTATACATATGCATGAAGTACAAGCCTACAAATATTTTGCCAAAACGTAGCCAATGATTTATCACTTCTGAGAAAAAAGAAATGCTCACACTGTGTCTTTGAGGAGAATCAATGTCATGGGTTATTACATTTTATAATGGCCCTTTTTCTTATTTTAGACATAAAAAATTCCAAATGATTTTTCTAGATATTATTTATAGTCATGTATGTTGATTCATAGGCTGACCTCAACAATAGCAGAATGATGTTGATGAAATTTAACTTTGCACATTACAAAAATTCCTCAGGATTTGAAGAGGGGCTGAGAAGTTTTATCTTTTTTATCATGTCAAAGTTGGAAATCCTGCAAAGACGTTCATAGCAATATGTGATGATGTGGCAAGACTGAAGCAGGATCAGGAATAATGGCTCTCAGTTACCATTTCTAGTGGCCTTCAAGTTTGTGAGGTTATCGTAGGTCTTTACTACACACACTTTTGCCGTCTTAGATATTTGTGTGAAAAAATTGCCTAGACCCGTGAAACCTTGATTTTTGCTTTTGTTTTTAAAAATCCAAGTACTATGGAATGGGATTTTTTTCTTCCTATATGACAATTTCTGTTTTTTCTATTTGTAAATTCTAGAATTTTCTTGCCTTAAAGAACCTTAAATCTTTTTTTAATTTTACTGACCTAGAAAGAGTTACATAACTTTTCTCTTAATTGTGCACAGATTTTCAGAGGATTATAAAGCAGTAACACTTACAACAGCTTAAATGAAGAAATGTTCTTCACTTTTTTTCCCCTTTTCTTTGCAGTGCTGAGAGTTAAACCCAGGGCCTTGCACATGCTAAACAAGTGCTCTACCACTGAGCCACACTCCCAGTTCCTCACTTTTAATGCATTTGCTTCTTTATCAGAATAACAACAAACCAGAGATAAGTGTGAAAGAGTTTATAGATTGGATGCGGTTGGAACCACAGTCCATGGTCTGGCTGCCAGTTTTACATCGAGTAGCAGCAGCTGAGACTGCAAAACATCAGGCCAAATGCAACATCTGTAAAGAGTGTCCAATTGTAGGATTCAGGTAAGAAGTACTGCCGGTGCTGGCATTAGACTGCTTTCTGTTCTATGTATGTAATCTCCCTGACATGTTCATCATCCTTCTACATCATTCCTGTTTGGGGCTTTGTCTCCCTAAGTACATGGGGAATGCTCAGTGTGTTCCACCCATCTAAAAATACCATCCTTCTAGTAACCACTACATGAACTTACTTTATAATTATCATGGTTATTTTTACTACTTTGATCCAGAATCTCTATTTACTTAGGTCATAGAAATGTTCATGTAGGATATAATGGCATGACTGGTTATAAACACAGAGTCCTGATGGAATGTGGTGGATGTTCCAAGGTCTTTGAGATGAAATTTAGTAACCAGGAAGCAACACTCAAATACTACTTGAGAAATAATCAGATTACTGATTATTTGAGGAAAATACGTTAGGATCTTGAAAATGGTGAGATGATAGGTGATAAATGTTGCTGCCTCCATTACTCTTGTGTATTTTCACAACTTCCCACGTTGAGAATATGGTACCTCTGCAAATTTTAGTTTCAGAAGAAAAGAGAAATAGAATTGATAGCATTTTTTAGGAACAACCCCAAGCCAACATTTCTTCAAACTAACGGTGACTTAGTTATTACACAGATTGCACAGGGAGAAAATAAATGTTAAGAACAATTCCAATAGTAAAATGGGGCCAATATAGAATAGGTCTGTTTTGCTCTTAGGAGTAAAAGGATATCTCTCTTTTCTCTAAAATTAAAGGAAGAATGAACAGCCAGCTATAGAAATAAAGATAGAGGAGTATGTGCTTTAGAGAATAAACTTAACTTGTCCAGGTTGCCTCTGTATCAAGCTCCTGTGCTCTTTCTCTCTCTGTGTTTGTGTGTGTGTGTGTGTGTGTGTGTATACATACACACATATATTTTCCCCTCCCCCTATGTGTATGTATATATATATACACATATTCATATTCTGAACTTTTGCAAATGCTGATAGAATTTTTCACTAATTACTTCCAAAATTGAATTTTAACATCTTAGAGCTCTAGAGTGTTTGCTAAGCTGAGAATTTCCATTAGAATTGTATATAGTTACTTTCCATTAGAATCGTATACTACTACTTAATGGTGGAATATTATATTATTTAATTATAATAGCATATACAGATTGGAGATTTAATTCCTTTCATGTACACAAGTACAGAGATAGGCAATCCAGGACTGACATCATTGCTCCATGATCATCTGAATTCCTAGTTCTGTCTTTGTGCTCTGTCATCCCTAGTGTGTGGCTTCCATTTCCATGGTTATCTCACAGGAACAAAAAGGCTTTTCCGGATGTCAGGCCATTTTCAACAAGGAGAAAGAAGGAGCTTTCCTCTTCCCAGTGAAGTCAGTTCCTTGGAATTACATCTAGAAACCTCACCCACCAACTTCAATACGTGTTGTGCTGGTTACATCTACCAGCAAGAAAGACTGAATTGGTATTTTAGAAGGGTGCATTGTTAAAATATGCTAATAATACAAGGGTTACCTTTGATGAGAGAATGGCTATCAGCAATAAACATAGTGCCACTTCAAAGAGACAACATCAATCATGTTTGTCCATCCATGCTTATAGGTCAAGAAATAGTAGTGCTACTATTTCAAATCCAGTAGATTCTTGACAAAGTAAGCTGACTGTAGTGTAGACAGATTGATTTTCTTCAAATCAGCTTATGAGTGATTTTGTAGGTCATTATAGAAACTACTCAGCACTTAATAGTTTATAACATTAACCTCACATAACCTTTGCATTTTGCTTCCATTTTCACTCTATTAATCCGATCATCTAAATTTTTTTCTATAGATACAGATATAATTTATTCTCTTAGTTCCAACAAGCCATGCTCTCAAGGTGGAAGATTTGGGAGATGTTTTCCACTCAAACCCATAGAAATTTAATGTCTAGAGTTTCACTACTCAAAATAAGATTCTGCAAATGGAAGTCAGCATGGAGTGTTGCTATTATATGAGAGTTTTAAAAACAAAAGAATATGTGGTGATTAAGGTTTTATTTAATTGTCTATTTGCTACAGGGTATTTTTTGCTTTTTAATTTTTTTCCTAATGAATCTTTAAAACCAAATTTAGAAATGCTCATTGTGAGAAATAATACCTTTGTGAAACATTTTAAGATTCTTTTTGTTACCACCATGGTACTGGGGATCGAATCCAGGGCTCCACATGCCTGGAAAACACTGTACCATTTAGCCACATTTCCATCCAAAGATTCATTTCTTATTGATGGTATAAAATTTTTAAATTTGATGTGTCAATTAAAATTATCATAGCTCGCTTTTCTTCATCATTTTTTTATTCATATTCAAACATCACAGGAAATCTGACATGGATATTTATTTTCTCATTGTGTCTAAACATACCGAAACATGTTTTAGATAGAGACTTAAATAAATTTTTAGAGTCTTAAACTCCCAAAATTTATTTTTCTGCCCACTGGAAAGGTGGTTTTCTCTTTGTCCTAATTTGAAGCTGAGTTACTAAACAAATTCTGTGTATGTGGCGAATCTAACTTTATTTCCTTGGTAATCTGGATTAATGAAATTCCTTACTACAGATGATTGATGTAGACTAATAGGAATGCAATGCAATGAATTTTCCGTTTTTCTCTCCAGGTATAGAAGCCTAAAGCATTTTAACTATGATGTCTGCCAGAGCTGCTTTTTTTCTGGTCGAACAGCAAAAGGTCACAAATTGCATTACCCAATGGTGGAATATTGTATACCGGTGAGTACTGAGCCAGGATTTTTATTTTTTTAATGCATTGCTTTTAAATCAACTAGTGTCCACGATTTTATTTGGTTTACTTAGACTTAACCTTTTTGGGGGGAAAAGTCTCTTCTAGGATTACTTAACCCTATTTTTTGCTTTGTTTTAAGTAAACCTCTCTAGTATCTTGGATTAATTAATGAAAAAATTTTTACCTTTCTCAGAAAATTTAACTTGGTAACTTTTTTGGAGGAGGGGGGTTCTGATTTTAAATTTTACTTTATTGGAAACAAACTCTTTTAAGATCTCACACTGACTGGTCTTCATTGAAAATGATATATGATGAAAATCATGATTCTTTTAGACATATTTAAAATACATTTTATTATATTTCCTTTAGCAAAAATGTGGAAAAATGGATAAATTAAAAATATCCTTTATAGATTAGCTCCTGAGTAAATTACTCTTTAATATTTTTCTAGGCTCTGAATTTGTTAAATTTTTATTTTTATATTTATGCATTTTTTATCCTTATTAAAAATACTTGACATTGTGTATACTAGCTGGCCCCTTATGTTATATAGCATAATCTTTCCCATCAAAAAATATTTAATTGAATTAATTACTATGATTTACCTAACCAATCCCTTAAATTTAGACATTTAGTTTATTTCCAATTTCCTGGTATTATAAACAATAGTTATAAATACCTTTGTGAAGATAGTGCTTTCCATTTATTATATAAATTTAATTTCTATTGAACAAAACACTAGAAATAGATGATTTGATTCAGTGAACATACGTATTTTTATGGTCAAAATACTTGATGACAAGTTATTTTCTAAAAGAGATCTGTCCGACCTTACATTATTATCAAACTTTGTTAATATGTTAATTTAATCTAGTTCTGCTAGAATTGTATACTGGTTATTATTCTTTTGATCCAAAGCTATCTTTTTTCTGAAATTATCTCATTTTCTGGCAATAGCCATTCTTTGACTTCCTTCCAAAGTGTGCCAAAATTTATTCATAGAGTTGTACATTTTCTTTGGTTTAGGGAATTAAGTTACTGTTTGGATCATAAACCAACAGAAAGGCAACAATACATATAAAATATATGCATATAATTCTCCCATTTTTAGTGTCTTGTCTCAAGTAAATAGGGATACTCTATGTGTAGAGAGGAAATATCTAGAAAATATTGCTGAATTTTGCTGGGTGAAATACCCATGATGCCTAACTTTAACCAGAAAAAAAATATTCCTCCTAAGAAAATAAATGATTTATTATATTATTAGTTTATTTATTCAGTCAACAAATTAAAATTGATAATAGTGTCAGGCACTATAATCAAAGTTAAAGTTGGTCACTAGTTACTATTATAAGGACAGATTATAATAATATATGAATTTTACATGTGTGAGTATGTGTGTGTGTGTGTGTGTGTGTGTGTGTGTTTGTACTCAGGTGACTGAGTGTGTTAACAGGTGAATAAAGAGTTCAGTAGGAATCAGAAAAGTCAGTAAAGCAAAATTTGGCAAAGGATGGATGGGTGTAAATTTACTGAGACTGAATGTATCTACTAGCTAGAGATTGTCAGAGTTAGATTTCTGTCCTTCAATAGAGATTGAGAGACAGAGGTCCTATCCTTCTTGATGATTACATTTCAAAGAAATGGCTTTCAGGTCCTTGAAAAAGATATTTGTGAGCTGTAAGAGATACATTCACATCTCAAAGGGACAGAGGAAGGGTTTAAAATAGTAAGCCCTTTTTCGTAAATGTTCTTGCAATGGTCAGGGCCCAATCATAGCTCTTGGCTAGATCAAACAGTAAATTCTTCTGGCACTTTAAGTCAGGTTGAAGGTGCAGGGGTCATCCTAAGGATGAAGGCTTGAGCTGTCAGAAATTATGTTTCTATTTCAAGTCTTTTAAAGGAGTGTCAGGTTGGAGGGCTTGGATGAAAAAATTTGCTGCATATCTAGTTTTTATAAGCCAAGGCTTCATTTGAGAAGACCACACTTTGGTCAAGGAAAAAGATCTTTGTCACTAGTCTCAACTCATTTGTCAGTATACTACCAAGAAAGGTAAGATTGATGATTCTTCTGGTACTTTCTGTTTAGGAGGAAGGGATGTGTGACAGTGAGCAAGGAAACCAAGAAATAAGATGATGATAGATTTATATTAAGTGCCTTAGAAATGGATAAAAAGAATGACTAGAGGTGGCACTTTATATAAAGAAATTGGGTAAGGTTGTCCAAGAAGTTGCCATTTGAGTTGAGACTGAAGGTTGAGAGAATCATCTACTTTGTAAAGAGTGAGTGGATGAGTGTTTCCAAAAGAAGAAACAGTACCCACAGTGCTCTAGAGATGGGCAAAAGGTTGGCATGGTAGGGATGCAGAAAGAAAATGAAAATGGCATTTCAAGGTGGCGGCGACAGAGCATGAAGCCCAGCTCAGGGTTCTCCTGAGTATGGGACCTTTTGCCACTGCACAGGCTATGTGTCTATAAAGTCTACATTGGGAGAATTTCACAAAGAGTGAATTTTGCCTTTCACAAAAGGGAGAGTGCTAGGACATAGGATTAAAGAGAAAGGCAGGTAGGTATCAAATTATATAGCACACTTGGGATTTGGATTAGGAATAAACCTAATATTAGCATTTACATAATAAGAGCTGGAAATTAAGGAGGCTTTATAAACAGTTAATATCCAATTTAAATATATAAAAGTAAATATATGTGATTATAGTAAAGATACATATGTTACTATTTTTCTAATTCTTTTTATTTATTTATTTTTAGTTGTAGATGGACACGGTATCTTTATTTATTTTTATGTGGTGCTGAGGATGGAACGCAGTGCCTCACACATACAAGGCAAGCGCTCCACCACTGAGCTACAGCCCCAGCCTTGTTTTTCTTATTCTGAAATACATTTTTTTCCTAATGATTTTGTAATATACTCAAACAATTTGAAATAAATACATCTTCAACAATCATTGGCCATTGGAGTATGGTTGAGAATCACAAATATACAAATGAATTCACTCATATCAAATTTTGAATAAAATCTGTAATTTACCCTTAACTCTTCTTGTTAAATAGTTCTTGCCAAGTCACTGTTATCATGTTGTAGGCAGCTTAAACTATAACATACAGGATAATTTCCTTTTCTAAGACATGCTTTGAAAGGTCCTTTGCTCCTTTCTGAGCTGGTTTGGTGATCCCTTCAGCCTTGCTGCAGATCATCTCTATGTCAGGTTATTTTGCATCTCATCATTTTACTTTTTTTTTTTTTTTTTTTGAGGTATAGGGGATGGAACCCAAGGTCCCACTTTTGATAGTCAAGTTCTATACCATTGAGCAAAACGTGGCTCCTGACCCTACAACTCTTTATAAAATAACTAGAAATATACATAAATGGAGTCTTTGAAAGGCATACTCTTGCATTTAATGATAACAAATGACTTAATATAACTGCTTCCCAAAGTTTATTTTTGCACCCACACTCTTTGAACTTTTTGCTCTCCTCTTTTAAGTAAGCTGTATTTATGGTTCATCTATCCTTTACCCAATGTTTTACCAACCTGAACTCATTTAATGTCTGCCTTAGGAAATGAACTCAAATGTGAATTTATTTGTTCGGGACAGTGATAATAAGCTGTGCTTGAGTGTTAAATGAATCTGACCTTTCCATGAGGATCTAGATGTGTGCATTTCTCATAGCTCATCTCCATTTTTGGTTAAGGTACTGCTCCACTCCCATCACCGACTTGATCTCCATCTTCTGCAAGGTCTTTTTTGAGCCCCCTCTCAGTGCTTCTATTGTTAAAAACCTTCTGCAGTTTGTAAACCTTATTTTAAACCCTTCCAACTTCCAAAATATTTCACCAGCATTTCAGCTTATTATTTGTGACAATGTTTGTATTTAAATGTAGGAAGATTAATGGTGTATGAATTAGCTATCATGATTCATGAAGGTATTTTATAATATTGATAATAAAACATTTGTAAGAGGAAATGGAGTGGATTTTTTCTTTCCTTAGGAAATTACTTTTTTAACTCTTATTTTTCCCCACCATTCTGTAATCCAAATTTGTACATTAATAATTTTCATTAGGGTCAATAAAAGATTGTCTTCAGGACATAACGTGACATAGGTTTTATTTAATGTCTGTCACCATTCTCTCTTCTTTCATCCAAATCCTACATTTTTCACAAAAGCAAAACTCTTAACTTTGTAGATGAAATCTTCCCAACCTCCTCTGGCTTTGGACCTTTAGCAAGGACAATATCTCAAAATGGGAATGCAGAACAAAATCACTCATATCATGATCTTAGAAAGCAGAGAGAAAGAAGAAAAAAACAGTCCCGTAATACCCTTTGAGGACACACCCTAGGGACCTCCTACCTGGTCCCACTTTCTAAAGGTGTCACCACCTCCCAATAATGCCTCCCTGAGCACCAAGCCTTTAACATATGGACGTTTCATGAACATTCAACATCCAGACTATCTTAGTCAATTATATGTTACTATAACAGAATACCATAGATAGGGTAATTTATAATGAAAAAAATCCTTAAATTTGGTTAATGGTTCTAGAGGCTGGGAAGTTCAAGGTTGAAGGGCAAGGACCTTCATGTTGCAGCATTCCTTTGTGAAAAGTAGAAGGGCTAGTTTGGGAAGGCAATCTAACTTATCCTTTCATCATGACCCTACTCCCACGATGACTAACTCTCATTACCTAATCTACTCTTAGAGTTCTAACCTCTCAACACTATTGCATTGGAGATTAAGTTTACAACACAGGAACTTCCAGGAGATACATTCAAACCATAGTCTAGATGTATTTCTGGGGACTAGAGCTATAGAGAAAATATAATGGAGAGAAAAAGCCTCTGTGGAGAAATTAAATGAGACTATACAATAATTTTTAGAATAATTAAATTTATGGATCAAGATAGTGGTTAAAGTTTTCCTTGTAACTTGTGCACTTTATGAATAAATTCAAGGACTATC